CCACGTCTGCGTGTCCCTGTGCCTCCTGGTCTGTTCATCCAGATCTTTCCATCACAGCCTCTCTTTGCCTCACTCTTCCTCCACTTTGCTGCCAAAACCTGACTCGCACATTGCCGCGTCTCTCCTGGAGTTGCAGCTTCCCGAGGTGTTTCTCCCCTCCGTCCCCACGCACTGACTGCCCCCACCGGGGCGCTGGCACCTGCGGGCCTGGGGCCCCGGGCGTGGGCGATGAGGGGTCCCGGGAGGCGCAGGGGAGCCGGCACCCTGCCCTCAGCGCCCAGAGAGACTCGCGTGCCAGTCACCTGCCCGCGCGGCGCCGGCTCTGCGCCGACGTGCTTGACGACGTGGGCTCCCCGGGGCGCGCCTTTGTCTCTCCCAGGCCGCGGAGGCTAATTAGATTGAGGGAGGGGCGCGGTCCCCTATTGACAGCGCGGTAGCTGCTGCTCCGCCCGGCAGCGCCGCGCAGGCCGGGCCAGAGTCACGTCCATTGAAACGGTGTCCGAGGCCCGCGCCCCAGCCCTCCTGGGCAGCCAGTCGCGCCCTGGATCCCTGGACCGTCCTGCGGGAACGGGGAGGGGCGGGGCGGGGGGACACACGGACCCCACGCGAGGAAGGCCACGGCGGGAATGGGGGCCAGAAAGACTTGAGATTTAGACAGAAGAGAGAGAAGTGGGTAGAGGAAGCCGAGAGGGTGTGAGAAGGCTGAAGAGGGGTCCGATCGCAGGCGGAACAGGAGGGGGGTGGGGAGAAGAGAGAGGCACGGACGGGGGCCACCGCGGCCGGGCGAACACAGCGGGGACGCGGTGGGAGTGGACTGGAACCCGCGCGCGGGGCGGGGAGGCGGCGGCGAGGGGCCGAGACGCCGAGGGAGGCAGCCGGACGCACGGACGGCGGGAAGCACTGACGGCGCAGAGACCCATTCCAGCCTCGGGGCGAGAGCGCAGGGGGCCAGGCGCAGGGGGCCGGGGCCGGGGCGCGGCGGGTCCGCATTCTTCGCCTTTTCTTCCTGGGGCTCCTTCCAGCCGATCGATACCTGCGCGGGACCTGCCCCCGCCGCTAATATCTTTTTAATGAGTTCGCGGGGCTTAAAGCGAGCGCGATCTGCCCTCCAGGGTGGATTTTCCCCCGGCAGATGTTTCGGGAGAAGGAGGCGAGCGGGGCCCCCAGAGGGGGGACAAATCTCTCCCTCCGAGAAGCGAGGGCAGGAGACTTTCTTCTAAAGTTCAAAAGAAAGACGGGCTTTCACTCGGCCCCCAAAAATGTATTTCCCGGCAGACAATGGGCTCCTTTCTGCGCCTCCGAGGGCTGGCGGGGCGGGAGGGGCGGGGGCCGGTGCGCCTTGGCCCCGCCTGACCGACTCGCCCCCTCTCCACCCGGGCCGGGGCAGCCGAGCGAGAGCGCGGGAGCCAGGAGCCCGTCCTCCCCCCCCCCCGAACGCGCACTGGAGCGCGCTGTCCAGACCTGGCGCCCCGAGGGAGCCCCGGCGCACTGGCCAGAGCGAAAATGCCCTGCGGGCCGGGCCGCGGGTCCCAGGGAGTCGTGGGCCGCTGCCTACCCCGCACCCAGGGCCCCGCGGGGACGCCCCGAGGGGACGCAGGGTGGGTGTCCGGCCTTTGCCGTGGCCGCTGCCCTCTCCGCGCTCATCCCGCTCGGGGCAGCAAGTACAGACCGGCCGGGCCCGGGCGGCCGCTGCCCCTCGGGTCCCTCCTCACCTGCCTCGGCCCCCCCGCCCTTACTCCCCCACCCCGTGTCCCCAGTCCGTGGGTCCGTGGGCCCGCCGCCGCCTCCGGGCCACGGGGATGACCTCCGAAGAGCCGCGGCCGATTGATTCGTTCCGCCCGGAGCGCGGGCCGCGTGAATGGGGGCCCGGGCGGCAGCGGCGGCGGCGGGGATAAAGATGTTCTCCCCGGCAGGGGGAGGGAGCGCGGGGCGGGAAGCAGGGCCATTCACTCCTGGCCCGGCCCCTCGGGAAGCCGCGCCGAAGAAAGGGGGCCGGGGCCTATTCAAGCCCTACGAGCCGCCCACAATGGACCGATATACTGGGGGCCTCTCTATTAACGCCCATGAATATTAAAAAGATTTCCGCGCGGCGGCCCGCGGGCGCGAGGGGGGGCGGCGCCTGCGAGCCCAGGCCGGGCCCGGCTCGGGCTGGGGGCTTGGGCGCGGGCACACTCCGCGCCTGGGACCTGCGGAAAGCGGCGTGACGCAGCAGCGGAGAAAGCCCAGGACGGGCACTGTTTTCCCTCGCAGTCTCAGCCAGGGGAGATGCAGGCGCAGGGGCCTTGCTCCCCAGTTCCAATGGACCCTGAGACCGGGGAGTTCCTATACGTCCCCATTCCCCGAGGCGCGGTCCGGGTGGGTCTCCCGCTAGACTGGAAGCACAAAATGTGAGCGCACAGTGGAGACCCCCGGGGCCGACGGCCGCAGGAGCTGGGAGACTGTCCTGGGCCCCGCTTCGTCCTGCCCCCGGCTCCCTGGGTTTGCAGGTTCCCGGGAAAGGATCAGGGCTCCCTAGTAGCCGTTCGAACTCGGTCTTTTCACTTTCGGACTCCGGGCTCGGGGCTCGGGCCTAAATGCTGCACCCAAGGTGGAAGGGACGCACAGGCCAGAGGGCTTTTCTCAGTGGGGGTGGCCCGGGAACTGGCAAAATCCTTGGGCCTTCAGAGGCCAGTTACCTGACCCAAAGAGGGACAAGGTGGGAAGAAATAGTTCATCAAGTCCAACACAAACCATTGCACAGACAGGGACACCGAGGCCCAGGGAGGAGAAAGGCCGTTCCAAGGACGCAGCGGTCCTCACAACTTTTGGTCTCCCAGGGGCGCTGAGGTTGGCTGTCGGGCTTGGGAACCGAGCTCGCGGCAACTGACGACGCTCCCCGACGTACTCTCTTCCGCCCGCCCCGGGAACAATTTCCCCTCCACCAAGTCTTCGTAGAAGGCAAGGCCCAGGCGTTGGTGAGGCACCGGTGTCCGGACTCCTCCCGCCCGCTCGGACTGAATCCCTCGGCTTGAGCCGGAGCCAGTGTGATTCGCGTCGGCGACGTCTGGAAGGTTGCTTAGGTTCCAGAGCCCTAACTCGCGGGCGGCGCTGCCTCCTCCGCAGCGCTGCCCTCTGCTGGCGTCTAGCCCGACGGGCGCGCCTCCTGCCTGGGCATCAGCCTCGAGGCGGACCCGGGCTCTGGGTCTGAAGGTCGGAGGCTCTCTCCTTCTTTACTCTCCACCCCGGTGCAGACCCCGGGGTGCCGGAGGCCACTGGCCTTAACTGGGCAAGCAGAGGCCTGGGGTGCGTCCCCGATAAGTGCGAGGCTGGCAGAGCAAAGGCCAGACCCAGGGCTGGAGGGAGCTTTTTGCCAAGGGACACGAGAACAGTGACTCCTTGTGGGAAGGCCGGGCTCCCCCACAACCTCGGCCCTTCGCCCAAGTCCTGGCGGTGCAGAGAACGCCCGGGAGATCCGATTTTCCTCCAGCTAACCCTTGGGTCCATCCCACACTCCGCGGGTGCAGAAAACACGGCTGCGTTAAGGAAATCTGAAATTACAGGGAGCGGGCACTGGCTGAGGAGTTTGGCAGGTGGGGGAAGTGTCCCTGTGATCCCAGTCCCGCTTCTGGGCCTGAATCGGGGGCTTGAGGCTAAGCCGGGAGGCGGCAAAGCCTGCAGCAAGCGTTGTCTTCCCCCTGGGCTCTGGGCGCTCTCTGTCTCCGGAGAGTGACCGCGCCGGCCTGCGGCTGCATTGAAACCTCTGCGCAGAAAGTACGCTGGTGGGATGGGAGGGAACAGGGAGAAAGGGGGTGAGCAGGGAGCAAGTAGAGAGGAAGGGAGAAAATAAGAGGGGGGCCAGAGAAGAGAGAAAGAGCGTTAGGAGGCAAGAAGGGGTGCAGCAACACGGCTGGCATTCCTAGGCAGCCGCTGAGCGAAGGAGCCGGGAGGCCGGAGCCTCAAGCCCAGGGCTGTCCGCAGTTTCGGGGGATGCTAGTTTGGAGTCACGGTTGCCTCCATGCTGGACCACCCGGAACCCCTTTCGATCCCCTTGTGCCCGTCAGCAAAGCCAATTCCCCGAGACCCGTGGCTGGGGCGATGTCAGTCCGTCCTTCCCGACACCCCCCAGGGCCGGGGTCCTGGTAGCCTGCGCAGCACCCTCCGGCCTGACCGAGCCCCGACGGCGGCGGCAGCCCCGCCCCGGCAGCCCCTCCGCCTGGGCATGAATTTCCCGTCCGGCTGCCCGCGGAGAGCGGGCGGTTGGAGCAGCCCGTTTGAAGCGAAGTGCCGGCCTCGGCAGCGCCGTCTGCGCACATCAGCGCGGCCCGTGCCGAGCCTGCGGGTTCCGTGGCGACTACCACAGTCTGGGGCTTGGAGTCTCGGAGAGCGCCGGGCCAGGCCAGGGAGGGACGGTGGGGCTGGGCAGGGACAGGAGGGCAGGGGAGCTGGAGGGAGGTGAAGCCGGGCCTGTTGGGCCAGAATGAGGAGCGCTGCTCGGGCCTGAAACACGGGGTGAGCCCGGGGCCCGGGGGGCCCAGGGGCGAGAGGCGGCCTCCTGATCAGTTGGGTCCCTGGAGTCCGAACGAGCCTGGCCGTGCCCCTCCGCGGCTCGGTCCCCTCCTCTCCTCGCCGCGGGCTGAGCCTCCCGCCCGGCCCGGCGCTTCCCACGGGGAGGGGAGGGAGGAAGGGCCAGGGCGGGGCGGGAGGCGCGGAGAGGGGCATTTCGGAGGCCCGCGCCCCCCGCCCCTCGAGCTGTCGCGGCGAAAGCTTCTCGAGCCCGGCCGGGTACAACAAGTCTGTCCTCCGACGTCAGGGGGTCATTAATAACCAATTAGGAGGGTCACTGCGGCTGCTATAAAGGCGCTGAGATTTTGCCAAAGGGAAGACCGTCCGGGCCGGGTGTGCGAGAGGCGAGCGCGCGTCCGGGAGCCCTTCGCCGCCGTTTCCCTGCAGCCACCGCCTCGCACCCCCCCGCACCCCCCACCCCCAGCCGCCTCCGCCTCCACCCGGGGCTCCCATCCTTCCGCACCGCCTCTGCCACCTCTGCAGATTCCCCCGTCTCCCTCTTCCCCTCGGCTGCGCTCCCCCTGGTCCTCTCTCCTCCCGGCCTCCGCCTCGCCTCCCGCTCCCTCCTGCGTCCCCGGCCTCCCCCTGCTCCCCGTCCCCCGCCGCCCGCATCACAGCCCTCTACTTTCGCTCCCGTGCTTCCCGGCGCCCGCCGCATCCCCGCGTCGGCCCGGCCGCCCGTCCCCCGGCGCCTGCGAGCCCCGGGCCGCCCATGATGGGCTCTGTGCTCCCGGCGGAGGCCCTGGTGCTCAAGACGGGGCTGAAAGCGCCGGGGCTGGCGCTGGCCGAGGTCATCACCTCCGACATCCTGCACAGCTTCCTGTACGGCCGCTGGCGCAACGTGCTGGGAGAGCAGCTCTTCGAGGACAAGAGCCACCACGCCAGTCCCCGGACAGCCTTCACCGCCGAGGTCCTGGCGCAGTCCTTCTCCGGCGGTGAGTCGCGCCGTCGAGGCCGGCCTCATCCCTTCCTCTCGCGGCCGCGGCTCCCCTCTCGGCGACGCGCAGGACGCAGCGGGGACCTGGGGCGCTGCAGCTGCTCGCACCAACCCGAGCGACCCCAATGTTCCGCGTGCCTCAGTTTCCCGTAGCCGAAGCAGGGCGCGGGCAGCCAAGCCCAGGTGGGGCGACAGGCAGCACCGCACCCCGCGCGCCACCGAGAAGGGAGCGCCGCGTCCCGGTTACCGGGCCCCGCGCCCCGCCTGCCCTCCCTTTACCCCTTTGAGCAGGCGGGTTCCCGGCATTTAAAGCCTTACTAGGCGTGTAATAGCAGTTGACTCAAAAAGAAGGGGTTTTAAATTCATTTAGTTAACTTGGGTTTGACCCGCGAAAGTTCCCACTTAAATTGAGAACTTTAAAAGGCAGCGGGGGCTGGGGAGGGGCGGAGGGCGGGCGGGCGCAGAGAAAGCCGGCGAGAAAGCGAGGAAGAAGAGAAAAAGCCAGCGAGAAAAGTTTCTTTTCTTTAAGATGTCTCAAGTTCTTATTCCTCATTCATCAACCTGCAAACAATATCTTTCCCCGGCGCGGGCATCTCTGCGCGTCGCCCTCTCTTCCCCCTTTACGATTTCTGTTCCTCTCTTAATTTACCGTGCAGACTAATTCCACTTCCATTCACGCTATGTCAACCATCTAATCCCCCCTTTTTGTAAGGGGAATTCCTCGGCCCCTTTTAAACAAGTCCCCTCCGCATTGAGCTACAATTTACTGCTACAGCATTCTTCCAGGGCTAATGAATTTAGAATTAGCAATTTCTTTCGAATGGAGCCGAATGAATGCGATCACTTTAACAGCGTGACAAATTGCCGGCCGCGCCGCAATGGACACCGTTTAACCCCCCCTTTCAGCTGGCCTGCTCGCTGGGTATTTTCCCAGGTAGCTTAGAGGGGAACCTTGTAAGACAGGGAGGCCGCCCATGTGCGCCTCCCCCGCTCCAACCCCCGAGGCCAGGAGCAGCGGGGGACCCCCCCGGAGTTGGGGCCCGCCCTGGCTCTTCCCCGCCTAGAGAGGCAACTTCAGGGTTTGCTGGGGTCTGGGAGCCGCCCTTTCTGGCACTCAGGCGCGCACGGGGTCACCCAGAGACCGGGGGATCTGGTCCACCGCCACCAGCGTTTCTTTTGAACCTCAGCCCCTTGCGGCCGCAGGTCTGTTCCCAGCACTGCCAGCCCGCTGCAGCGGAGGGCCTGCCCGCACCCGCAAAGGAGACAGAGAACCTGACAGCGTCTTGGGTCCCCCCACAGTGCCCTGTGCTTGGTGCCAGGACACACTGTGAACCCCGAGTGACAAGTGGAAGGGCCAGAACGGAACTGGGAAGAGCCTCGGCTTGTTAGCTATGAACTGGTGGGGAGCTGGCCTCAGCTGGCCCATTTGTAAAACCATTCACTGTGAAAGGCTCAGTAGTTCTTAAACTTTGCCGGGGTGGAGGTCAGGGGAAGTTGTGGATGCTTTCAGATTGGTGGAGAGACTAAAAAAACCTTCTAGAAATGAGCTCCAAAGCACCGCTTGCTTTCCAGGCCTTCACCACTGCCTGCCCCTCCACTACTCCCCAGCAGGCACACCCGAATGACTTTCTCTGGAGCCACTCCAGGGCAGAGGTAGTGTTGGTCAGGTGGGCAGGACTGGGCCTGGGCCCTGGAGGGCAAGAGCCAGGCCTCCTCTGCCTCAGGCTCTGACCTGGTTCCCCGCGGGCCCCCACTGCAGAGGTGCAGAAGCTGTCCAGCCTGGTGCTGCCGGCCGAGGTGATCATCGCACAGAGTTCCATCCCCGGTGAGGGCCTCGGCATCTTCTCCAAGACGTGGATCAAGGCAGGCACGGAGATGGGCCCCTTCACCGGCCGAGTCATCGCCCCAGAGCGTGTGGATATCTGCAAGAACAACAACCTCATGTGGGAGGTAGGTGATCGTAGGCCGCAGGCCCGTGGGCGGGACCCCGGCATTGCCCTCACCGGGGGCTGCGGCACCCCTGGCCCTGATGCTTCCTGAGGCAAGATTCGCAGCCACGGCCTGATGCCTGAAGGCTTCTCCCAAAACCACTCCTTAAAGGCCTTTGCCATCCACCCTCTTTCCTCCAGACCAGGCTAGGGGAACCGCCAATGCTGGGCCCACTTCACAGTGGAGGGCTCTGACACTCAGAGAGGCCGTGCCACCTGCCTAGGGTTCTTCAGCACAGAGCTGGGAAGCCACCCCTGGCAGCACTTCCCAGCCACCCACGTTCTTTCCTTACCTGGGAGGCAGGAGAGGCTCTCAGGGCCAGTGTTGGCCTGAGGTGAGGGTGGCTGGAACGGAGAAGGGTGGCCTGTGCTTCTTGAGAATCAACTTCTTAGCCCCAATGGAGCAAGGACCCTGGAAATGATCACAGATGAATTGGCACTGAGTCAGCTTTCTGGGCCAGGTGCCTGCATTCCACCAAATTATCTCAGTGAGTGATGATTCCCATTTTACAGAAGGAAGCTCAGAGGCCTCCCAGCCCTCCTCTCCTCCCAGTGCCTTATGCCAGGGAGGGCTCCTCTTAGGATGGGCAGTCACACCAAAACACTTCCCCCTCGGGGCTTTCACCTTGCAGAGGCCGGCCTCCCCTTAATCTAATGTCACCCTCTCCCTGATCTCGTTTCCCCTCCCCCATTGATGGCTCTCCATTACACCCCCAACCTGCGGGCCCTGGAGGAATGCAGTGTGACAAGTCCCACACCTGGTCCCAGCAGCAGGAGGAAGGGAACAGGGGGATGGCCCAGAGGTCTCTCCTAACCTCACCTCCTCCCTCTCCTAGAGCTTTGGACCAGTGGTTGCCTTCTGCATTTGTTGCTAGGAGAGGCAGTTGGGGTCCAGTGTGATCTCTGAGCATTCTTGGTAGCTCCCGAGAAGGGGCTTGGGCCCGGCGCACAGTGAGCCGGACTTTCCTCTGGTCTGAGATTCTAGCCAGTGCTTTGTCCGGGAGCACCTCTGCGTCCCTGGAGAGCTCACTGGATGCCGCTTTGTCTGGTCAGTGATCCCCTGGAGACCCTTTTATTTTGAGAAAGGGGAGGACACGGAGGAGCCTGTGAGGCCCTGGAGACTGACTCCTGTGGGCCATTTTTAGTGGCCTGGCCTCAGGCAAGTCACTGTACCTCTCTGAGCCTCCTTTTCCTTAGCTGGAAAACTGATATGATAATAGCCGTGTCCACTGCCTGGGGCTGCTGTGAGGATAGAGAGAGTGTGTAGATGTGGCCAGCACAGGGCCACAGGTGGCCCATGTGATACAGCCCCGCCTCACCTGGTCCCCAATTCAATTGTGCCCAGGTGTTCAACGAGGACGGCACAGTGCGCTACTTCATCGATGCCAGCCAGGAGGACCACCGCAGCTGGATGACCTACATCAAATGTGCACGCAACGAGCAGGAGCAGAACCTAGAGGTCGTCCAGATTGGCACCAGCATCTTCTATAAGGCCATCGAGGTGAGCGTGGGTACTGTGGGGGTATACTCGTGTCTCAGAGTTTGGAGGGAGCTAAGCCTGGCGCAGGTCATTGGAAGGTTCTGGAGGACATGTTCCCAGTAGGGAAATGCTTGGGTAGGGGCAGCTATGTCTGGGGACTGTGGATGGAGCGGCATTGACAAGGGCCCAGCTGGCCCCACCCAGGCTGTAGGACAGGTCCCTGCGGCATGGTCTCCAGGATTGTGACCTCTGTGGCAAGTTTCTGCTGCAGATCGGAAAGGCTGGAACCTTGACTTCATGCCTTGGTGAATGTCACGAGCACCTCAACAGTGGGCTCCCTCTGGGTGTCTGCTGAGGGAGTCATGGGGTTCAGAAGCCACAGAGATACAGAGTGCCAGACGCAGAAGGCAGCCCAGGGAAAGTATCTGCGTGGGAGAGAGGCGCTGTGTCTCAGCATCTTCGTGGTGTGTCGTCCCTCATTCTGCAGGCATGGGACGCCGATGACATGTGGATCATGACTCTGGTGTCAGCTTTCACAGACTGATCGCTTTCCTTGTCAGGCTCTCCTAGATGCCATATATGCATGCATTTAATCCATGGGGGTGGATTCTGTGATAATCTGCAATTTACAGACAAGGAAACTGCGTCTCACTCGGTGGCAGGAGCTCTTGCTGGGCATCGCGGGGAATGCTGCCGCTGGCGCTGGCGCTGAATGAGGCTTCTCAGAGGAGAGAGAGAGCGGACAGATGAATACCGTGTCTCATAGCTGGAGGGAGATAAGCCAGGCCCACGTCATCGAAAGGCTCAGGAGGAAGGAAAAAGGGGGTGGTCCTAGGGAAATACTTGGCAGAGACAGACAAGCTCAGGGCACATGAGGAGGGGCTCTCTAGAAAAGCAAACTGAGTGGTGGTAGCCAAGGAGACCCATGTTCTAGTGACCCTCCCTGGACGGTGTCCCTTGGCAGGAAATTTGCTCAGCATCTGGCCCAGGATAGAGACAAGCTGCCAGACCTCCCCATGGCAGGCTGTGGGCAAGTGCTGTGTGGGGAGGTAGGGCTGTCCCCCCGAAACCTGACTGGACCTCGTGCTTCTGCTCCTCAGGGGTGGGGAGAAGCACAGCACCCATTGCCGTGAGGCTGGGCCTGGCTGACTTTTGGAGTGGTGCGAAGGAGCGCCCCCAGGGCCAGGAAACCACTTCCTTTTTGCCCATTTTCTCTCTGGGGCTCAGAGCCCACGGGTCTTTCCGAGGCCCGAGGGGCACCAGGCCAGTTGTCCCTCATCACCAGGCTCCAAGGACTGTCCCAGGAATGACAGCAGAATGGCCTTTGCCTGGGCCCTGGGGTGGCCAGGGAGTGAGTCTCAGCCGAGGGGTAGACCTTGTGAGGGCATGGTGTGGAGGTAAAGAAAGGTGAGCAGCTCCTGGACTAGGGTTCAGGTGAGGCGGGACAGGGTGGGGCCGTGTGAGGGTAGCACCAAGGGTGGCCAAGGCCCAGGACAGAGGTGGCTCCTTGCCCACTGGGCCACCACCCTGTGGGAGCTAGGACTCCCCACCAGACAGCCTACATTTGGCCTCTGGTGTAGCTGAACCCCACTTCTAGCAGACAGTACCCTCCCAGGCCCTCACCCCCTGCCACCCTCTCAGCCTCACACGCCCTCACATTTGTGCACAGGTCATCCTGATGCAGATGAGACTGGGATGCACGCTTGTTCCATCCCTCCTACTTCTATCCAGACACACATACACACACATGTACACAAGTGCAGGGGCACGGGCACACACACACACACACACACACACACACACACACACACACAGACTAGGAACACTTTCATAGTGTTAGCAAGAGGACTCTCAGCTGTGGCAGACCCTGGGGGCCTGCGCCTCAGGCTGTGCAGGTCACAGTGGCTGAAAGCTGAACAGAGTTAGGAAACATTAATAGACATTTATATAGAAATTCAGAGCACAGGGGTCAAGGTGACTGAAGAGTATCTCCAGGGAGGAATCTGAGTTTACAAGATTAAAAAAACATCATTTATATTTGATCAGGAATTGGGGGTGGATTCTGTGATAATCTGCAATTTACAGACAAGGAAACTGCGTCTCACTCGGTGGCAGGAGCTCTTGCTGGGCATCGCGGGGAATGCTGCCGCTGGCGCTGGCGCTGAATGAGGCTTCTCAGAGGAGAGAGAGAGCGGACAGATGAATACCGTGTCTCATAGCTGGAGGGAGATAAGCCAGGCCCACGTCATCGAAAGGCTCAGGAGGAAGGAAAAAGGGGGTGGTCCTAGGGAAATACTTGGCAGAGACAGACAAGCTCAGGGCACATGAGGAGGGGCTCTCTAGAAAAGCAAACTGAGTGGTGGTAGCCAAGGAGACCCATGTTCTAGTGACCCTCCCTGGACGGTGTCCCTTGGCAGGAAATTTGCTCAGCATCTGGCCCAGGATAGAGACAAGCTGCCAGACCTCCCCATGGCAGGCTGTGGGCAAGTGCTGTGTGGGGAGGTAGGGCTGTCCCCCCGAAACCTGACTGGACCTCGTGCTTCTGCTCCTCAGGGGTGGGGAGAAGCACAGCACCCATTGCCGTGAGGCTGGGCCTGGCTGACTTTTGGAGTGGTGCGAAGGAGCGCCCCCAGGGCCAGGAAACCACTTCCTTTTTGCCCATTTTCTCTCTGGGGCTCAGAGCCCACGGGTCTTTCCGAGGCCCGAGGGGCACCAGGCCAGTTGTCCCTCATCACCAGGCTCCAAGGACTGTCCCAGGAATGACAGCAGAATGGCCTTTGCCTGGGCCCTGGGGTGGCCAGGGAGTGAGTCTCAGCCGAGGGGTAGACCTTGTGAGGGCATGGTGTGGAGGTAAAGAAAGGTGAGCAGCTCCTGGACTAGGGTTCAGGTGAGGCGGGACAGGGTGGGGCCGTGTGAGGGTAGCACCAAGGGTGGCCAAGGCCCAGGACAGAGGTGGCTCCTTGCCCACTGGGCCACCACCCTGTGGGAGCTAGGACTCCCCACCAGACAGCCTACATTTGGCCTCTGGTGTAGCTGAACCCCACTTCTAGCAGACAGTACCCTCCCAGGCCCTCACCCCCTGCCACCCTCTCAGCCTCACACGCCCTCACATTTGTGCACAGGTCATCCTGATGCAGATGAGACTGGGATGCACGCTTGTTCCATCCCTCCTACTTCTATCCAGACACACATACACACACATGTACACAAGTGCAGGGGCACGGGCACACACACACACACACACACACACACACACACACACACACACACACACACACAGACTAGGAACACTTTCATAGTGTTAGCAAGAGGACTCTCAGCTGTCGCAGACCCTGGGGGCCTGCGCCTCAGGCTGTGCAGGTCACAGTGGCTGAAAGCTGAACAGAGTTAGGAAACATTAATAGACATTTATATAGAAATTCAGAGCACAGGGGTCAAGGTGACTGAAGAGTATCTCCAGGGAGGAATCTGAGTTTACAAGATTAAAAAAACATCATTTATATTTGATCAGGAATCTAAGGTGACAGAAGAGGATCAGGAAAAAAATTTATCATATATGATATCAACAGCTGGATGTCACCGATTTGCCATTCATGCCTTCACAGAGTTAGCAAGGCGACAGATAGGGGACTGAGTGAGGGACAAGGAAGCACAAAACATCACCCATTGAACTTTTAATAAGTAAATTTTTCATGGTGGCAATTTTCTTAAACCGTTGTGCTGTGATATTAGATTCCAGTTACAGGACAGAGTGTGTTTGGGTGGCTGTGACTGCCCACGGTATAGCCGGTCCCAGGCCAGCGCTCCCATGGCCCTTCTAGGCTGGACCGGAAGACATTGCTGCTCCTCCAGGTGGCCCTGGACTCCTCCGGAATAGAGCGCTGCTTGCCCTGTGCCTGTGTGCGAGCTCGCCAAGGACAGGGGCCTTTGCTGGGATCTGTTTTCTAATCTTTCTGTCACTCAGAACTGCTATTTCTATTTCATAGCAGTAACCCATTATTTGCCAACAAATGGGAAGGAACATCTTTATTCAATAAGCAGAATATCCTATTGTTGCTCTAGAATTTCCCACAAATACAAAATATTAGCTCTCCAAACAGAGACGAGGGCCGTGGGGTTTCAAGCCACTCTCCCTGCTCACTTCCGCCCCAGAAGGATTTACTACAACCTCAGGCGCCTAAAATGACATCCCTACGAAGTGGCCAGCAAGTGGGCACTAGATGTTGAATGAATTAGTCTGTCTGCAGTGATGGGGACTGGGTTGAAAGGGGAAACAAGGACCCAGTTCTCCCAGGAAAACAAAATTGCTGCTCCAGGAAGCCAGACGTTTGACTTCCAAACACAGCACAAGGAAAGGATTGAGTAGTAAGTTATGAAGGCTTTGGATTTTGGAACCGGGAATAAAATTCCAGGTCTTTCTCTCCCATATTTTTTGGCAGATTATGCCCCAAAGTAGTGGCTTTTCCTTTCTGCTACTTTGCTTCTTGTTTCGGGCAGTTTGGCATTTTTTCCCTGGAGCCCCCATGTCTCCATCTCTCTCTTCTCTGGGCTCTGTGAGGACAAGCTCCATTTTCCTTTTGACCTTGTTCATTGATGGTTGCATTAAGGTACTCTGATCATTAATAAGCATCATTATTAATGCTCCCATCCATGATGCATTTGCCAACACGGCTAAGGGCCTCAGCAAACTTGAAAAAACTCCCAGCCTCTCAGCCCAGCGAGGTGCTCTCGTCACCATCCCCATTTCAATGACGAAGAAAGTGAGGTTCAGGCTGATTGCAAGAGGTTGTTGAGCTGCGATCCGCATCCAGGCCTGTCTGACTCCAGGGCAGAGCCCGTGTCACCGTGCTGTGGGGCCTCCCTGGCCAATATCTATTTGTTGGAACTCTATTAATTGGTGTGTCAGGACATCTGTGGTACAATGGAAATTGATATTCGTCCAGATGACACTGAGATCCTTCTAGACAAGGGCTTCTGCACCGCCGGGGGCAGGGGAGGGCATCAGAGCCTCGCGGGAGCATGTTCAATAGTGTGACATGAATTTATATTAGGAAAACAAACCAGAACCCCATTCATTTCCATCGGTAATAAGAATTCAGAAAGGGACAGGAAGAAACTTCTGGACTGATTGGGAAGGTTAAGCAGCTTGAACTGAGAGATTATGTGATTTACCAAGGAAAGACTCAGGCGCCGACATTCCCTGAGTCTTGATGACGTGGATTTTATGGTGTGGGACCCAGTTTCTTTGGGAATTGCTTGGTTTATTGTGGGTCCTGAGCCAGTCCCTGCACTCCAGAAAAGTGAACAAACAGCTGATTCTGGTTCTCCGAGCCTCATGGAGACCCTCCGCAGGGCCAGGCCAGAGTGTGGCTGTAAAGAAAGAGCGCTAAGGAGAGACAAGGAGGCCTGCAGGGGCCTGTGGCTGATGTCTGCTCTTAGGTGGTCTGCTGGGGAGACCCTGGGAGTGTCTGGATGGTATTATCAGGATCTCTGGGAAGAGGCTGCCGGTTCCCTGGGGTCTCCTGCCTTGCTCTCCAGGCTTGCTGCATGGGGGGTGCCCGGGAACAGGTAGAGACCAGAGGTTCAGGCAGGGGCTGCCGCTGGCTTCCCAGCTCTCTCAAGTGCTGGGAGAGCCTCCAGTTCCCAGCCTCTGTGCCATGAGGCCGCCTTCCCCAGCACTGCCTTCAGAGCTGGTGGCTTCTCCACATCAGGGGGTGTATGTCATTCTCAGTTCCAGGAGGTTCTCCTTAATAGATTATCTTTCTTTAAAAAATATTTTTTTGTAAGAAGTAGCATGTGCTCATTAAAAAAACAAAAATCAGATACATTGTGTAGAAAATAGAAGTCACGCTGCTCCCCATGAGCCTTAAATCAGCATTTTCTAATGGTCTCAAAATGATAAACGCTTCTGGGAAAGATGCACAGAAACCCGGCTACAGTGGCTGGGCATCCAGAACGGGAGCGAGTTATTTTTCATTATAGGCCCTTTCACACATTTACACATTTTTGACAGTGTGTCTATGTCGCTGTTTCAATTTTTAAACTTAACTAGTAAAATTAATTTTAACATGTTAAAAATGTGTTAGTAGTGTCTTGTCCTTTTGCTGAAACAGCCAATACTAAAGCTCTTATTAAAAAATAATATTACAAAGAACGCCCTTTTGAATACTAATATTCAGAATTTGTGCAATTCCAGACATTCGTGGCTCCTCATTCCTTACCATTATTGTTGTTATTATTTTGTATTTAATAATAATTGTTGTTGTCAATTAAAATGAAAAGGCTCGTGTTGACATAGATATTTGATTCCCTGACTGAGAGTCTGGAGGGAGAGAGGCAGCTCAGGGCGAGTGACACCGGCCTGGGGCTCGCTGGACCCCCCACCCCATGTCTGGGATCTCCCCAGGGATGGAGTCAGGAAGTGGTGGCCTGGGCCTAGGGCTGATGTCCTTGGGGCATGGGGGCCCAGCCTGTGCTTCTGTGGGTCACGAAGGCAAAGCCATTGATCACTGGGTATTAACCGTTCCAGCCACTCTGTGCCTCACTGCAGGCTCTGTGGGGACAACTGTGGGGTCAGAGATTGCTCCTCGTTTCCCTGAGAGGTTGGCGAGCTCCAGGAAAATAATACGTGCTCCTGTGGATCCATCCTGCAAAGAGCTTTAGGTGCATGGCTCGCTGAACCCTGATAGGCACCCACTGAGGCCAGAATAATGGTGCTGTCCCTGTCTTACGGTTGGGAAAATTGAGGCCCAGCAACATAAGGCAACTTGCCCAGCTGGCCCCCAACAGGTGGGCCTCCAGGGCCTGAGCCAGGTCCTCTGCAGTGTTGTGTCTCCCAAAGGAAGGGGCGTGTTCGGATGTCTGCTGGAGGCCTGCGGCTTTAGAAGAGCTGTGATATATACATGTCTGTCTCATCTGAGAATTGAAGCTAAGGGTCTGGACAATTTGGAGGGGACTTACAGTCAGAGTCTTAGCATTGGGGGGACCTCAAAGACCTCCACAACCCCTCATTTGAGGAGACAAGCTTAGAAAGGCCAAGTGCCTGCCTCAGGTTGCCCAGGGACCAGGACGGGCTCGTCGGCATCATCTGTCAGAGAGCATCTTCCTTCACAATGAATTGATCTTAAATATTTTAGTTGCATCCTCCTCTCTTCTAGGGACACACAGAAGCCCTCTCTTTGCCAGCCCTTGTCCTGCAGGGCCTCCAGCTCTGACATGATGGCCTCCTGGACAGTGGCCATGACTGTGAATGAGCAGAGAGGCCTCAAGGACTTTTGCTGTGGTGCCAGGTTCTAATCTGCCTACTTTCTTTGAGGTGCTACCCAGTTTTCCTTGAGTACAGGGACTGCACTTGGACTTTGCATATTTGAACCCTGGCCATCTGAGTGTGAACCCTCTGCCTGGTTTCTCCTCACTCACCGACCCTGAAGCTGGCTGGACACGACACCCCATCAGCCATGGGGCCTTTTAGGAAGGGGCCCAGGGACCCTGGGCTGAGTCTCAGGAGGATGACAGGTGCCCTGGGCCTTGCCTTCTCGCACATCTCCTGTGGCAGGCTCCTCTTCTTTCAGGGTGCAGCAGGCCTGGCTGTGACAGGCTGAGGGCCTTCCTGGTTCTGACCGAAGGAAGGAGGGTGTGGGGAACAGAAGGGTTTTGAGGAGGGCAGGGGTCTGCAGGCTGGAACCAAACAGAAGGGGCAGGGCCTTCTCTGTGGCCATGGAGGCCAAGGAAACTACTCCGCTTTGATTTCAGACACTCCTGAATGGGGCCCCAAACAATCTTTTCAGCTTCAACTAAAAGACAACCTACTGGAAAACAAACCCTACTGCCGGTGGGGTGGGGGGAGTGAAGGGGCGGGGGGGCTCCCAGCTCTCTCTGGGCAGATAAGAAAGTGACCTCCAAGGTGGGGGCCAAAGCCAACTCCCTGGAGTCCAGCCCTGGGAGGCTGGAGGGGCATCCCCTCTCTCACTTGCTGGCTAGAGCCTGAAAGTTCCCACCTGGGAGGGGTAGCTGGCTTTCACGAAAGGCCTGGCCGGCCCTTGGGGGTGTCCGGGAGCATTCAGTTACCTTCGGTGCCACCTCGGAGCAGGCCTTCTAGAGCTCCCTTGGATTGCCGCTGCAAACCCCTCCCTGCCGGCGGCCTTCACCATCTCCCTGGGCCGGTCCTCTCCTGGGAGCAGCAGTCCCCTCCCCATCTGTGGAGTTCTCTGCCATAGACCCAGGACCTGGCAGAACGGATTTTGTTTAAGGTCGAGTGTCCCAGCACCTCCTGAGGTGGAGGTGTTCTCAGTGCGAATCCGGCTTTTTCAGCATTCGCCATGTGCGTGGAATCATGCGGAGCCCTGTGCTTGGGAGAGAAGTACACGTGACATGCTACTGCTTTGAGGGTGCTTGGGGTGATATGTTTCTAGAATATCATTAGGCAGGGTGTAATCAAATACCATAGGGTGCCCACAGCCCGAGCTCCCTGGGAACACCTGGCCCAGCCCTGCACACCTGAGGGCCGGCTGCCTCTGGTCCCCCTGAGTAAGCAATGAAGATTTTTCTAGCTCTCCTTTGGTGGCTTTTGCTTGCTGCAAGGCTTCCTTTCTGTTGCTGTCTGCTTGGGAAATCTTGTGTGGCCGGGAGGCAGCTGTGTTCCCAGCGGCAGAGAGAGGACAGAGAGGGCTAGAAGGCCTGGGCAGGGAGTGGGAAGGATGGGCAGAGCATCCTAGGGCCTTCCATGTAGCATGACAAGAATGGCTCGGTGCAAATGGACCCGAACATGGCTTCCTCAAGGCTGAAACTGGAACCATATCATCAAGGCAGGGGCCGGTGGCTGCCTGGCTGTGAGGGGATGTGCAGAGAGCCCTGACCCTCACTCCCCCAGCCACTGCCTCCCTGACCTCCTGCCTCCTTCTCTGTAGATGATCCCTCCTGACCAGGAGCTACTGGTGTGGTACGGGAATTCACACAACACCTTTCTGGGGATCCCTGGCGTGCCTGGGCTAGAGGAGGAGCAGAAAAAGAACAAGCATGGTAGGTAGTCCCCATGAGGCCACGACGGCAAGGGACCCACAGAATTCAGAGAGAGTGAGTGTGTGCGAGTGTGCGTGATGTGTGCAGGGCGGCACCTGGCCTCAGGGACTCTGGTTCAATCCCCAGCAGCACTGAGCCCATGGGACTCACTGAGCCCTGGTCCAAGGAGGCCAATGCCCCTGGAGCTGCCAAGACAATCCAGGCATGGTTCAGGGGCAGTTCTGTTTTTCTGGACAAAATAGGTTGTCTGGGGGCAAAAAGGGCTGGGCGGAGGGGACACCAGAGAGGCAGCAGGGTGTGGCAGGAAGAGCAAGGGGCTGGGCAGCAGGAGTCTGGATTGAGTTCCAGTTCTGCTGTGCGATCTTGGGAATGGCTCTAGGCCTCAGTTTCCCCATCCATAAAGAAAAGACGTTGGATGAGATGATCTCTAAGCTCCCTTCCAGCTCTTACAATCTATACATTTCCCGGCCCTGTCCCTGGTGCCGGGCCTGGCACAGAGCTGGTGCTCAGTATAAACCCACTGAATGAAGGTTGGGCAGTGTGCCTGTCTTGGGGATGCCGATCAGCATGATAAGCACCATTTGCTCACGTGTTGAGCTAAACCTTTTACAGGTATCATCTTTTTTGGGTCCTCATTAAACCCTTGTGAAATTTGGTTTCCTTATTTTTAGAGGATGAACCCGAGGCGCACGAGCTACTGTTTATCTAGCCCTTGCTCTGCAGCTGTTTTTACAAATGGTAATTTCTCTGATCCTTACAGCAGGCTTATGAGGCTGATGCTGTTGTACCTTCACTGCAAGATGAGAAAAGCAGTTCCCTGGTACATAGCGGGCTTTCAGTAACTGTTTGTGGGATGAATACATGAAAGGTGTTTTTTTTTTGGGGGGGGTTGTAATAGTTTCTACCATTTATGGAAGAATATTATGAGGCAGGTGCTTCCCATATACAGGCTAAGGTAGGTAAAATGCTCAGCACAGAGTAACCTTCAGAAGCCGTCGGTTTTTTGTGATCACCTCCTGTAGTCGCACAGCCCCATGAAGTCGTGATAGGTTCCCATTTTACACATGGGAAAATTGAGGTTTCTTGAACGCAGGTCACCAAGTCCCGGAAGTCTCACGGCATGCGCTGGGGTCCAATCTTATTTGACCCCAAGCCAGAGCCCTTGCCCCCCATCCCTCTGCCAGCACCCTGTCAGTCTCCCAGGAGGCAGCGTGGGGTCGAGGACGGCAGGGCCCTGGGAGGGGTGAGGAGGGGCAGGGCCCGGCGGCGCGATCCTAACGAGGCTGCTCTCTACCCCCTCTCCGCCCGCCCCCCGGCCCCCGGCCCTGCCCGCGCGGCCAGAGGACTTCCACCCGGCGGACTCGGCGGCGGGCACCGCGGGCCGCATGCGCTGCGTCATCTGCCATCGGGGCTTCAACTCGCGCAGCAACCTGCGCTCGCACATGCGCATCCACACGCTGGACAAGCCCTTCGTGTGCCGCTTCTGCAACCGCCGCTTCAGCCAGTCGTCCACGCTGCGCAACCACGTGCGCCTGCACACGGGCGAGCGTCCCTACAAGTGCCAGGTGTGCCAGAGCGCCTACTCGCAGCTGGCCGGCCTGCGCGCCCACCAGAAGAGCGCGCGCCACCGGCCACCCAGCGCCGCGCTGCAGGCTCACTCGCCCGCGCTGCCCGCGCCGCACGCGCCCGCGCTCGCCGCCGCCGCCGCCGCCGCGCACCACTTACCGGCCATGGTGCTGTAAGCGCGCGCCCGCGCCCGCGTCCATGCACGTGGGCGTGCGCCGCCGCGGCTCCCGCTTCCCGCGCGGCCTTCTCGCCCGACACTGCCCGGGGCCGGCGCTGTGCGTGCCCCCCAGAATGACGCCCTAGGCATGCTCATCTCCCCGTTTAGTAGATGAGGACACTAAAGGGCGACGTCCCTTTCCAGGCCGCCTCCTCTTCGCGGGGTCCCCTTGTCCGGCTCGCCCCCGAGTCTCCCTCCTCCTAGTTGAGCCTGCCGCCAAGCTGGAATCCGTCTGGTGAGTGACAGGGGAGGGGACTGAAAGTCTCGGAGGGCTTCAACGGGGCAAGAGAGCCGCCGCCTCTCGCAGTTTCGTGCTTGGGAATGAAAGGAGAGCGACCCCCTGGGCCTGGGGACAGGCAGTGCGCGTATCAGTTTCCTCCTCCCGCTCCGAACTAGTGCCCCGCAGGGTCGGGAGTCAAGGACACGACCTTGAGATCTGGGGACTGAGACCTGCACTTCCCTGTCAGGCGGGCTCCTCTCTCCTCCAGGCTACCTTCCCTGCCCAGCCAGCTTCGTGGGGATGGATGAGGCACGAATACTTTGCTGTGTGCCAGGCAGGTTAAGAGTGAAGGCAAAACGCAAATCCACTGTGGGACCCCGGGCAGGGCCCTGCCCCTCTTTGGGCCTCGGTTTCTCGTTTACCCATCTGTAAAATGAGAGCGTCCAACCAGTGCCTCCTTCCCCTCAGCTCTGACGTCATGCATGGGAAGGGGAAGTTTCCCTGCCCGCCCTCGCCACGCTCCAGCAAAAAGAGGGCAAGACTGGCTTCTCTGCTGGGAAAGCGCTTCCGAGCTGTGCAGGATCCCAGGGGGTTCCGTCCTGCCGCCCACGCTCTCCCTTCACCTGCCCAGTTTCCCCAAACTCCGGCTGCAGGCGCCCTCTGGTGTCTTCTCTCCCACCTTGCAGTCATTTACCAGAATTCCCGTAGGGCGTTTCGTAAAATACAGAAACTATAATAATATTAATGAAAAGTATAAAATGTATAGAGTTTTCAAGAAACTGTGTTCTACTTCCATAAAATGGTCACTTTAACTTTGTAAATATTTATCTAAGATGGTATTTACAAAACTGTGATATATATTATTTGATTGTATATGTACAACTGTAAATACATTTGTACTCTTGTATTCTAAAATAAAAATTACTTGGAGCATTTATCACTTAGCATCTGAATGGATGGACAGTTTTGTCTGCATGAAAAGGAAATACGGAAAATGGCTAGAAGCTGGAGAGGGGATGGCAAGAGTTGTTGCACCTGCTAGTTTTGAAAGTTACCATTGTGCCATCCAGAAGGAAAATTCTTTCTGTCACAGCTGGGGCGGTGGCTCCCAAAGAGATGGTCACAGTGCAGAGCAACCAGAAATGTCAGGAAGGGCTGGGCAGATGCCTGGTGGTTTGCAGCCAACTCTCAAATATCAGTGTCCCACTTTGTAATTTCCCCCAAATCTTCACTTACTTTTTCATTTTCATAAACAACTTGAAGGAAATTCAAGCATCCGGTGGGGATGGGCCAGGATGGCCACCGAGTGTCCTCCCAACTCCTAGAATTTCCAAATGCTCTGCGTATCCATTTCCAGACCCTCCTTGCAGAAGACTAAAGAGCAGGGAGACCCTCAGGTAGGGCCAGACCCTGCCCTCCTTTATGGGATCTCCGGGGATACTGGGTGGGGGGAGGGTGTGAGGTCATGCCTGAGCTCCAACACATGCCAGCCATGAGGGTGTCGCTCTTCTAACCCACTGACATCTCTCAGGGACACCTCTCTGTGCATCCTGAAATATGGCCGTGCACCCACACCTGAAGATACTGGAATTCATGCTGGGATACACAGGCCATCGCCCTTGGGAGCTCCAGGTACTCCCAAAGACAACCCCTTCCCCACCTTTGGGGGACTGGTCTTGCACCCTGGAAGATGGGGACACAGGCAGAGGTGTACACTTGATGTGTTCAGTTGAAGGTCCCATCTGGGGTTTCCACCCTCAGGCCAGTGGGGGAAGTCACCCTTCCAAGGCCACAACCTTGCCTCTTCTCCTCACCACTAGGCTTCCAATGCCTCTGGTGAGGCCCCAGGAATCACCTTCTTCCCACTGCAGCCCCCACCCAGGCTTGTTTCCGTGCCCAGAGCCATCTGTCTTGAATCCCCTTCCCTCTGAAGGCCAATGGGTAAAGTAGAATTAATGCCCTCCTGGCCCACATGCCCTGCTGCCCAGGGGGTTCTGCAGGCTGGGTCCTTGATCAAACATCTAAATCTCCCTCCACAGGAAATTCTGTGAAATTCCTATCACAGGGGCTACCGATCACAGGGGCCACAGCCCAGGCTCCAGAACCCACCTGGTGGCAGCAGGCTGGAATTGCAGACTATAGTACGGACCTGTTTGTACAGAAGTGTGCTGGCACTGGAGATAGGATGAGCAGACAGGAATTGGGGTCCTGAAGAACTGCACACGGGTAGGAGGCCTGTACTGAAAGTGTAACTTCTTATGTGGCTTGCATTTCCAGCAGAGGCCTCGGGCCCCTTTCCTGATGCTGCACACTGTGTCCTCCCCACAAAGGCATGCAAACACAGCCCTAGCAATCTTTGACCTTAGGGATTTAAATGCATGCATTCCAGGAATCTTCCCCACAAACCTGTGAGGCTGATGCTTTTCTCCTCCTGATACCCTATTAATGTCCACTTGAAGTATGAGAAAACTGGAACATAGAGAAAGTCATTGGCCTGTGTCCCTCGGCCAGTGAGTAGCGGAGCAGCTTTCACCATGGCAATGACCCTAAAGCCATGCTCATGACTAGCAGGCCATGCCAGCTCCCCATCAGCCTGAGGACAGGGCTTTCTGCATATCCCACAGAGATGCAGTGTAGGCCAGAACTGGATGTTGACCTTATGTCCTTCAAACTTGCAAAACTCGCTGATTCATTCTAGTAGCCTTTTTGTTGATTCCTTAGGATTTCTATGTACATGATCATGTTGTCTGTTAATAAAGACAGTTTCACTGCCTTTCCAGTCAATATGCCTATTATTTCTTTTTCTCATTCTATCCCATGGTTCAGGAACTCTGGGAGTAGAGTATTCTAGATAGAGGCAACCTGGTCTGGCTTTGAAACCCGTCTCTGCCATTCACTAGCTGTGTGAATTTGGGCAAGTCAATCAATGTCTCTGTGCTGCAGGTTCCCCAAATGGAAAAAGGGTGATATTTAGCTCCTGAGGATGTTGTAAGGATTAAGTGGGATAATGTATATAAGAATAAAGTACATGGCTTTGATGCCTGGCACATAGTAAGTGTGCAATGAATGGGAGTTGTTACTACAAGGATGCTTTTGGTGCGTGAGAAGGGTTGTAGCTGCTTCGCCACCCATGCCACTGGGCATTCCCCAGAGGGCATCTTAGGCAACTGTCCACCCCCTCTTCTACCCTTTCTGAAAGCTGTTACCCTGGGATCTCTTGAAATGGAGGAACAGATATCCTAAGTTTTCAGCTTCCTTCCCACCTCGAGCTGGCCTGCCAGGATGGGTGTCTGTTGGTGGTGGGGAAAGCTATGAATGGTGGCTGGTCAGCATCCATGCTGACTGCTTTCCACAATCTGGCCGCCTCAGGGGAGTCGGATTTCCTGCATGTCAGCTCAGGACTTCAAAGGCAAGTGTTTCCAGAGAAGCAGGTGGAAGCTGCATGGTCTATTCTGATCTGTCCTTGGAGTCACATAGAGGTGCTTCTGACAAATGCTATCTGTTGAAAGCAGTCACAGACCTGCCAACATGAAAGGGGAGGAGGCACAGACCCCACTTCTCAGTTGAAGTATAAAAAAAAATTCATGGACTTGCTTAAAAACATCCACAGACATTAAGGCTGTTTCTCATGTTTATAGGAGAAGCAATACTTTGATGAGTGGTGGTGTGTAGAAATCTTTGTGTACACCTCTGATTAGAAATTTCTTCAGTTACTTTTGCTGTTTTAATGGAACCCAAAGTACAGCCAGTGGGTAGATCAAGACCAGGCTAGAGTCCCCTTCACATTGTTCAAGATGTCCTTGTTCTTTCACCTGGAGTTCACCTGTCCTCCTCAAACCAACTCCCATGTCAAAGATCCCTCACTTCAAGGCTCATTCAAATGGCACTTCTGTCAGAAGGGCTTTTCTGTTCATCCCTCAACCCCCTGTCCTGAGCACCTTGATGGCTAGGGCAGCAGGTGATCCAGCTCTGTGGCCCCAACAGCATAGAATGATGCTATTTATCAAATGCTTGTTGAATAAGTTTGTTTATTCATTCAACAAATATTTATCGAGAGCCGCTCCAAAGGCACCTGGGATTTGTTTCAATCAGGTGTAGTAAGACATGCAAACATGGAAATGACTGGTATGAAGGATGAAGTTTGTTATATTCACAATTCCCTAGAAGCAGGAGGCACAGCACACCATGAAGGGTCATGTGGGGAAGCCCACAGCGGTGTCGATCAGGAGGCAGAGGGAGCAGGGAGAAAATGTGGATTAACCGTACTATGGTTTCCACGGGAAGGAATGGGTGAGGGCAGGGTAAGCAGGTTTAAGATTGGCTGGTTTGAATAATTTCAGTGAGCTGTGAGGCACAGAGCCTATAGCTGCTGGTACCTGGCCCTGGATGACGATAAGGGCAGGGGGACAGTGGCCCGAAGTGTGAGGAGGTGGTTGTGGGTGTGCGCTCTGGACTGGCTGGTTTGCATGTGAAAGGCACACATCTGGGCTACTTATTTGCTATCTCGAGGAACCGGCAAACCCTGGGGGTGACTGTCCTTCCAGGGTCAGCAAGGTCCAAACCTCAGCATACAGGAAATAGAACACATGGCTGATAAAAAGACCTCATGTATCCAGACAGTTCTAGGGAATGGGCAGTGAACAAAATAGATAAAGTCTGGTCATTTGCAGGGTTCCTATCCCATGGAGGAGACAGATGGTGAGCAAACAAACAAGCATATATATATATATATTTCATGAATATATCTTATTTTTCCAGCAAACATTTCATGGCTACCCTCTAAATGCCAGATGGAGTTCCAAGCACTGATACACGTTGAACAAAACAGGAAAGCAGGATGACTGCAATAAACATGAAAATTCAGTGACAAGAAATAAAACAGAATCAGGTGATAAAAAAGGGCCTGAAGATTATTCTAGCTAAGGGGATCCGGGAAGGATTCTCTAAGAAATTTGAGCTGAGATCTAAGGAAGAAGCAGACAGCCACACACAAGGCCCTTGAGGGAGAGAATTCCTTGCAAGGAGCCTGAAGCACAGGGCCCTGGGGTGTTGATGAGCTTGGTGCCTGCAGCTCTGAGAGCAGGGCAGCGTGTCTGGCTGCAGCACCGGCGTAAGGGAATAGGGTAGGAGCGAGTGAGGTCTGAGACAGGAAGAGCTAAGCAAAGAAGAGTCTGAATCTTATTCTGAGTGTAAAGGGAGGCCACCAGAGGTATTCTCAGCAGGGAACTGATTTAATCCAGTATGTTCGAAAGCTCCCTCTGCTGTCGTAGGGGATAGGATGATAGGGGGGCAAATGTAGCATCAGGAGACATGCTAGGAGGTGACGCCCAGGTGGGAGATGTTGATACTGGCTCCAGGTGGTGGCCCTGGAGAGTGCACTATGGGGAGGTCGCTGGACTGGTGGGGGGATCCATGAGCATTAGACCTGATCGGCCATTAAAATCACCTAAAACACAAGCTCGTGGACTTCTGGACCCAGCCTTGTAGAACTTTGGTGCATGAGTCTGGGCTCAGGAACCTGAGTTCCTGACAAGCCCCTCTGGGATGTGCACTCTGTTCCTGTGTGCCTGTTCATCTACCTGGTGTGAAGAGGTGAGTGTAATTCTAACACTGGAGCACCAACAGGGAGTCTGGGGTCTTGGGTTTCAGTCCCAGCTGCAGGTCTGCTGTTGGGACTTAGTGGCCCCAAAGGACCGTCAAGCACAGGAAGGCCTACGTCCAAGCTGGGCAGAGAGTGGGGAATAAGTAACAGTGTTAGTAAAGCATTCGACCAGGCCCTAGGGAAGTGTTCGGTAAGCAGTGCAGGCTCTGGGGTAAAGCTGGTGTGGTCAGAAGGCACATAGGCACCAACTGCTATGTGAATTTTGGTTTTTTTGGGGGGTGTCAGTTTCCTCCTCTACAAAAAGTATCTGCAATGGACTGATTGATCATGCCCACCCCTCACCCCAGCCCGCCATTCATATTTTGAAATTCTACTCCTGAAGGTGATGGTATTATGAAGTGGGGCCTTGGGGAAGTGATTCAGTCAGGAGGGTGGAACCCCCATGAATAAATGGGATTAGTGCTCTTATGAGAGAGACCCCCGAGAGCGCCCTCACGCTTTCTACCATGTGAGAACACAGCACGAAGGCATTTATCTGTGAACCAGGAAGCAGGCCTTCACCAGACACTGAAGGTACCACTACACTAAGTATCCATGATCCCTGTTGGGACAGGCTCTGAAGGCGAGTGCTGTGAGAACGGGGGCCGGGGGCGGTGTTACCATTATGTCAGTGGGGATGAAACTGTGAGGTTCAGACTATACTGTACCCTTGGTCGAGGGACACTGCCAGGCCTAGCTCTCCCACTGACTGGGTGACAGTGGCTCAAAGGACACCACCATCCTCTTATGGCTGAGGCAGGACTCAACAGATGGGCCCTTATCACACTTTCCTGGCTCTAGCTCCTTCCTCCCAGCAAGGAGGAGGGCGAGTGTCTGGCCTTGCCCACTTACTGGACAGCCTGCGAAACACTAGAACTTATATCATCAGTTGCCTTGCAGGGCTTTCTTAACAGGTATAGTTGTAGGCCTTGCTTAGATGAAAGAAATGTTGTCCTTTTGCAGATTTATCCAACAGTTGGTCTGATGGCTCTTGAGGCAGCACAATGTGTGGGGCTGATGCAGGTTATTTCATTTAATCCTCTGTAGGGGCTGTGTGCTTAAGAATCATTAGCTCCCACTCCCTGATGCTGAAAACACTATTTGAGAGATGCTATAAACCACGCAGGAAAAGGGTAAGGGTGAAGGACTGGGGGAAACACTCCTAATAAAACCGCATATATAATCTATCTGTCCACCACTGAACCCAGGCTCCGCACGCGGAGAACAACCAATGCGCTGTCTGGGGAGACATAAGCTGAGATCTTTGTATTAATGCGTGTCCTTTCCCTCCATACCAAATATACCTGCCATGCAAGATTTGAATGTTTTTCGAGGAGGCTTCTTGTTTTTTGTTTCCAAAAGAATGTTAAAGTAAATCAGCTCACTCAAAAAGTTACTAAGGAAGGAAGGATCCAGCACCTGGAGCGCTGTTTGGGGCTTGAGGTGGGTGGTTATTGCCGAGCCAGCATCCACGGGGCGGCCACTATCAATACCATGAAATGGGCTTCTTTTTCCTATCCAATCAGTGTTTTCGGTAGATCCCACCTTCTTATATTCATTGAGATCTTTCATATAAGAAAATCAGATTTTAGCAACTTAGAGTTGGAAGGAAACTCAGAAGACTCTCAATTATTTCTAATCCTTGAGAACAATAAATAGGATGATGTGTACGAAGAAATTTTGGTAAAAAGTCAAGTGCCGTACAACCTAAGACTATATTGTTCCACTGACGCGGCACGGACAATTGTAAAGACCGCAACTCGGTTCTCACCTTCTCATAACGATTGCCAATAGTCAACGAGGCCCACAGACCGTGAGTTCTCATTGGAGGGCGCTCTGAGGCTCCGCCCCTTCTCGCCCCACCCCTTCGAGTGACGCGAGGATTTGCGGAGCAGTATATCGCACAGGCTGCGCCTGCGCAAGTCATTGGCGCCAAGATGGCGATGGAGATGAGGCTTCCTGTTGCTCGCAAGCCTCTTAGCGAAAGCCTGAGCCGCGAGACTAAGAAACACCTGGTGGTGCCGGGGGACACGATCACCACGGACACGGGCTTCATGCGGTACGTGGGGACTTGGGGTCTCGGGGCCTCAGGGCTTTCTGCACGTGGCCTGCTGGTTGAAACGCAGGCCTCTGTCCCCTTGCGTCTCAGCCCGCGCGGGACCCGGTCCACAATCAACGGAACATCCAGTCGCCTCGTTTCCGAGGCCTCGGGCCTCTTAACTCCCAGCATCTTGTGTGTTCCTGTCTGCATTTGCCTCAGCCCCCCGAAACCCTCCTCTCCTGGCCTCTGGTGGCGGTGACTCTTGGGTCCTCTGCCTGAGGGCGCAGGACCCCGAGCCTCCCTCGTGAGGATCTGGAACACCGGGGAGGGCCAGGAGCAGGGCCTTCTCCAGTCTACAGCTAAGAGGGCCCGGGGGGCGTTCCTGACCTGGCCTCCTCTTACAGCATCGTATCTTAGCCAGGTGCTTGGTTTTGGAGTCAAGAATTGTTGGGGCTTAGGGCATATAATTATGTTTTGCTGCATGCAGTCAAATATACAGTTTTGAATCTGAGGGCAGTACAGTATGTTGTAGTTAAGAGAGCAGGCTCTTGAGTGAGATGGCTGGGGTTTCAGTCCTGCTGTGGTCAGTTCCCTCATCTGTAAAATAGTGATAACAGTGACTATTTGATAGGGTAGTGAGGATTAAATGAGGTAATAATTAAGAAAAGAAGCAAAACTCACCATTATATCACCATCATAAACACTAGTGGTATTTCAGCCTTTTGGGTACATAGGTACACACTGAAGGGATCCAGCATTTATAGCATTGCTTTTTAAGCTTTTAGTTGAGGTTATTGGATCCTAGGACATCTTAAGATTCCATCCTTCATTCATGCATTCAACATCTCTTTATATCATGTGTGGTTGGGGTATAACAGTGAACAAAGTGGAAATCTCTGTCCTCGTGGAGTTATATTCTAATAGATAATAAAGAATAAATGCAACAAGGTATTCAGAATATGATAAATGCAGTGGAGAAAATGGAAAGTCAAGCAGGTTAAGTGGAATATGATGGGGGCTGGTGGCAGTGGAGTGGGTGACTATTTTAAATGGGATAGTCAAGGTAGGTCGAGTGGAGACAGGGCCATCTGAGTAGACTTGACTAAGGCATGGGGGGATGTCCATGTAGCCCTCTCGAGAAGAAGCGTTCTAGGCGGAGAGAGCAACCAGGACAAAGCCAGGCTCTGTGGCAGGAGCAGCCTGTTAAGTTCAATGAATACATTGTTCTTGATGGGAGAGGTCATCCAAGTGCTACCCTGGTATCCTTTGTATCTTCCTCTGACAACAGGGGCCATGGAACTTACATGGGGGAAGAGAAGCTCATTGCATCTGTGGCTGGCTCTGTGGAGAGAGTAAACAAATTGATCTGTGTGAAAGCTTTGAAAACCAGGTGAGGACAAAAGGTGTGTATTCTCTTTCTTGGGGCTTCCATGTTGTATCACCACATCTTCTGCCACGCTGTATCTCCCCATCCTCACCCCTGCATGCCCTACCATTCTGTAGGTGTGTGAGTTTGAATATGACTATAGGTAAGTGTGGACTTCAAAGATTTCCCATGTTACCTGACCCCTCCCTCCAAACCTTGATTACCTCCTCTCTAAAATAATAGAATGACCTGCCTTGCAGGGTTTTCATAAGAATTCACTGAAATGGTGCATGTGAAGTACTCAGCACAGGGCCTACCACCTGGAAGTGCTCAGTAACGGTTAGCCTCGAAGGAAGCCAGTCGCACTGGAACAGCGAGTGAGGGGGAGAGTAGTAGCCATTACAGGCAGGGAGTGGGGTGGGCAGATGGCCAGCCTGCCACGTAGGCACAGCATTCTGACCTGCACTTTGTGTAATCTAGGAGGCCACTGGGTGGGGGGCAGAAGAGGCACCTGGCTGCTGTGGGAGATTGAAAGGGGACAGGAGCAGGCGTAGGGAGACTGATGAATGGGCTGTTTTCATCTTCTGAAGTGATAGTGGCTTGGACTAAGATGGTAGCAGTACAAGTGGGGAGTGGGGAGTAATTCGGCATGTGTGTTGTATCCTGAGTGTTTTCTTCGTGGAAGGGTGTTGGAGTGTGTATTTCTTCGGGATTTTCTATATATGGGGTTATGTCTGTGAGTAGAGATAGTTTTACTTCTTCCTAATTTGGATACCTTGTATTTTCTGTGTATATTTTGAAGGTAGAGTTAGTAGGATCTGCTGCTGGACTTGTCCTGGAGCATGAGAAAGAGAGAGAAGGAGAGAAATCAAGGGTTCCTCCAAGGACTCCAGGGTCTTTGGTTTGAGCACCTGGAGTGATGGACTTGCCATTTACTGAGATGGTGATGACTGGGAGAGCATCCGTTTGCAAGGGGGCTATAGGAAAGCTTTATTTTATATTTGTTACATTTGATAAAGACGCTCATTGTGTAAATGGAGATGCTGGGGGTCTGGAATTCAGGGCATTGGTACAGTCTTCAGTGGCTCTTAAAGCCATTAGGTTGGATGAGCTCACTCAGAGGTGAGGGTGGGCTGATAAGGGGCCCAAGGACTGAGCCTTCAGCTTGGAACACTTAGTCATTAGATTGGGATGAGGAACTAGCACAGGGGCCTGAGATGAGCAGCCAGGGTGGGGGAGACAGTGAGTCAACTGGTTTGGGGGGAGTCTTGTCTCAGTCTCCTTTGGGTGATGCAGAACCCATCTGTGTTCTGGAGCCCACCCGGAAGTATTCCATGCTTACCATCATCATGTATTCAACAAAACAGGGGCTTCAGGCTTAATGAACTACTTGCAATAAATGGTTTGTTGAAAAATAGAAAATGGAGTCTTTATACATGTAGAAATGTTTGAAGTTATCAGTTCCTAAAAAATGGAACAGCGTAGTTATGTGAATTTACTAAATGTGGTGCCTAATCAAAGCCCTCTGTCCTGTTTAACTGGAATCTCAAATGGTGCTTGGTGTTGTAATAAAGCGTTTTTACTGATGGGTGACCTGTTTTATCTTTCAGATATAATGGTGAAGTAGGAGACATTGTAGTGGGGAGGATCACCGAGGTAAAGTCAATGTCAGATTGGTTTTTCCAAAGTAAAAGCAAGCTGGTGATGTAATGATGAGATAGTCATTCTGTATGTAATGATGTGAACAAGGCATTGATTGCGTTTGGCTCTTTGGTGACCTTTGACGCAAACAGTTGGCTTGTTATATTTGAGATTATTAGTCATTTATGATGTGAGCTCTTGCCCCTGGAGTATGTGTCCAGGTGTAGAATTTCTTTGTTTGTAGGTTCAGCAGAAGAGGTGGAAGGTGGAGACCAACTCTCGGCTGGATTCAGTCTTGCTTCTGTCATCCATGAACCTTCCTGGAGGAGAGCTGGTAAGGGTGCCCAGCTGGTATTGTGTAGTTTGCTAGTGAGAGAGCTCTGGAGGCCTCTGCTCCGCCAGACAACTTTGCTTTACACCAAGGTTGCCTCTTGTACTCCTTCCTGTTTCTGCCTGGGTGTACACGGAGACTTTTCACTTGGTCCAGGCCTCTGAACTCTCAATACAGACAGCATTTGGTATATGGTAGGACATGGGGAGCAATCCCAAGACAGCTGGGGAGAGAAGCTCTCAGACTCTCTGTGCTAATAATTTTCCTTTTCTAGGTGTATCAGCTTTGCACAGTAAAGGTATTCCTTGAAAACTTGTGTTTAGATTAGCTTTTTCATGAATTGAGTGGCACTTGGTTATTCCAGACAGCTGCGTACCTAAGCTGCAGCCTTTTGTGAAATGCCGTGTTTCACTTTATCTGCAGTCCGGCATATATTTACAGAGAGGCTCATGGTGCTAGGTTGTGTGGAGAATGCAAAGGCAGAGGGTGCATGACTGTGCCCTCGAAGGAGCTCACAGACCAGCAGGGGCTGTGAGATAACGGGTCTGGACGCCTGGCAGCTGAACAACAAACAAGCATGTGATGGCACAAAAGGAGGGTGAATTTCCCAAGAGCAGCCCAAGCCCGTCAGGAAGCTGGGCTTTGGAGTTGACCCTCAAAGGATGGATAGAATTTCAATGATGAGTTCAGGGAATTTGAGATAAAGGGAGATGTTTGAGGAAAGGCAGGGTCAGGTTGGCGGTGGTCTGGCCCTGCTGGAGCCTGGAGGGCTGCCATGGACGGTAAGTGGGGGAAGTAGGCTGGACTCGATCGGGAGGGTTTTGAGTATCGCGTAAGGAGTCTGAATATCATTCGGAGGAGGGAGAAGAGATGCTGTGAGAAGGTCTGTCAGGTGGAAAGTAGTGGATATCGCTCCTGTTTTTTCTGAGTGACCCAGGTTACAGTGTTTGAATTCTGTGGCTGGCTTCAGAGGTCTCAAGAGGAAGTGAAAGAGAAAGAAGAGACGGAGAGTTGTCTTTCTGCAGGATGTGACTGAAGTGACACGGTCATCTCTGTGTGTTTCAGAGGAGGAGGTCTGCAGAAGATGAACTGGCAATGAGAGGCTTCTTGCAGGAGGGGGACCTTATCAGCGTATCCTGTACCTTGCATTCCACGGTCTTTATGCTTCTATGGAGCTAGGAAATGGGGCTTAAATTGTATGTCTCTTACAGGAGAAACATGTCATCTTGGCAGGGATCTAAGTCCTCGAAGAAGTGTCAAGGGCTCTGCTGCAGCCATTCTCCATCTTCTTGACCCAGGCTGACTCTCCAGCTCTTACTCACTCTAGTGTTTGAATATGCTGCTGCTCAGTCATTTTTTGGGGTCTTGTAATTTATGGTGGCCCATGCATTAAGCTAGACTCAAATGTTCTTAATGATATTAACTTTCATCCCAGGAAATAGAAGGGGTATTGTTCATATAAGGATATTCCTGCCAGCCAAGGGGGAGAGGATAGGCCACTGTGATGTCCTTTAGGTCTGCTTAAGACTGCAGAGTTGGGACTGTTGGAGACAGGAGGAAAGGATGGAGAGGTGGGCTGGGGAGGCAGAGGAGGAGATGGCATCAAAGTGTTTGTTCCTTCATCACCCTGGCCAGGCTGAGGTCCAGGCAGTGTTCTCTGACGGAGCTGTCTCTCTGCACACGAGGAGTCTGAAATACGGAAAAGTAAGTAGGGCTTTTGCTGTTCCTGTTTGTTGACTGAGGCTTCAAATCCATTTCTGGATCCCCAGTGCCATCTGGAATTCTGAGTTAAAGAACCCTAGGAGTTAAGCATTATGGGCTGCCCCCCGGCCCAGACTGATTGAGCCACACGGTCAGGGATCAGTAACGCTGTAATGGATGGCAGCTTTTTCTGCTATGTTCTGGCAGAACGGCCCTTGTGACCTTGGGCCCTGAGGCCCTGTGGCCTGGCTCTCCCTGCTCCCTCCAGGGGGTGCTATAGCTCTGTTTTAGGGCCAGAGCTGAGAGGCAGGCCTAGGAACAAAGGGAGGTTGTAGACTGATGAGACAGGTTGGTCTTGGCTCGTAGACCAAACGTCCCATCAGGGAGGTGGATTTTACTGCTGGGAATGGCTGGTTTGCCACTTGAGCCTCTAAAGGAAGTTTGAGTGCTTTTCTTGTACGGGGTTACATTATTGAGACTTTTTTAATGACAGCATACTTTTAGTGACAGCAGAACATTATGATTTATTCATCTCCGCTTCAAGTGAATTTTCATTTTCTGAGTGGAACAGAAAAACCCTTCTGCCTCTGAGTGGCTGCAGCCAACCAACCATGTTCATGTCCTTGAGGCAGCAGCTGACATGGCTGTGCTGCCATGTGCTGCCCTTCCTGCGCGTGGTCCTGCACATGCCCCGTCAGTGGGATGTGGACTCAGAGCCGTCCTCTCGGGACCCAGGATGGATCTGCACCCAGCCCTTGACCAGTCCCCTTGCCCGGTGGCACACATCTCACTGGCAAGATAGGTGGTTGGGGTCCTGGTGGAACAGAACAATGCTCCTTGTCCTACTAGAGGCCTGAGCTCACGTCCTCATTACTGCTAGCTTCTCTGATAGTCAAGCCAGCACACCAGCCCTGGATTAGAATGAATGGTGAGGACTGCACAGGGCAATGACAGAAAAGAGTATTGAAAGTCACCTTCTGTGGAGAGACATAAGCTATGTCTCCAGAAGGGCTCTTTGTGAGTCATTACTATGTAGGGGCAGGCATATAGGTGACAGCAGTTAATAGGAAGGACCCTGATTCCAGTATTAGGACATGTATTCGGTAATCTGCTTTGCATTCACTTCACTGATCCTGCAACGACTTAGTTTACGGTGCATCTCTTTAGCTAGGTCAGGGTGTTCTGGTCCGGGTTTCCCCCTCCCTGGTGAAACGGCAGAAGACTCACTTCCATGACTTGCCATGCGGTGCCTCGGTGATTCTGGGTAACAACGGCTTCGTCTGGATCTACCCAACACGTGAACACAAAGAAGAGGATGCAGGGGGCTTCACTGCAAACCTGGAGGTGAGTGGACACCATTGTTGCTGGTGGGCTGAAGCCACTCTCAGTCTCCACTGTGCTGTGACAGGTGGACCTTGCTGTTTTTTTAACTCTGTTATTGCTGTGGTTTAAATCACGTTGTGTTTCTATGGAAGCGCGTTCACGCACATTGTATTGCCTCCTCTTTGCTGAAGAGACGAAATCAGTGACTGGTTTGGTCTTTGTTGGCAGAGATGGCAAAGCTGCAGGGTAATAGCTGAAGAGCCATCGAAGAAGCCATCCTTCTTAATCTCCCTTGGAGTTAGTTGGATTGGTGTGGAGTCCAGAGCAAAACTGCCTAAGTTATAAATGATTTCTGTGATTTGCTGTGGCCATTCACCTGTTTTGGTCCTGATTATCTTTCCCTGCCCTCACCCTTTGCTTCCGCTGGCAGCCTGTCTCCCTCGCCGATCGAGAGGTGATCTCCCGGCTTCGGAACTGCATCGTCTCCCTGGTAACTCAGAGGATGATGCTGTATGATACCAGTATCCTGTACTGCTATGAGGCATCCCTTCCACATCAGGTACTCCAGCCAGGGCTTCCCTTTTTTCCTCATTGGTCTGTGAGTAGACATTGCATGTTAATCATCTGCTCCACCGTATTCTCAGTGGTAGCAGGCACATCTCTCAGATACCTTTACCATGGTCATTGACATGCACTGATCTGGTGGGCAGCCGTGAGGGTAGATCTTTCTCCAAGATAATTATCTAGTATCTCAATGTCTAGTGTCAGTCGAAGGATTTGTGAGGATGGAGGTGCTTGAGTAGGACTACTTTATGACAACCGTGTGGACTTCATCTTGCCCATCCCAAATTTCAGCTACTGTTTCAGTGAATGCCAGGATATAATGTGTTTGTTCCTGTCAGCTTTATCTCAGAGAATCTTGCTGATTTATTAAGCTGATTCTAGCAGATCATATCTTGCAGTACTTAGCCTCTGTAAAAGAGAAGACTATAGAAGGTTTATGTTAACCATGCCTAGTTTCTGTTTAGAGTGGCAGTGATGGACTGCTTATGGTTGATTTCTTTTCTGAACAAATACCTTTTTACTTTCTTTTTCTGCAGATCAAAGACATCTTAAAGCCAGAAATAATGGAGGAGATAGTGATGGAAACTCGCCAGAGGCTTTTAGAACAGGAGGGATAAGAAGCACCTGAAGGCCAGGACTGTGTGCACCTGACTGGAGCAGGTCTTGAAAGTAAAGAATATGATTTGTGGTCCCCATGTGCAGCTCTGTGGAGAGCTGGGAAGCTCATCACTTGACCTGCATTAGGCTGTCTCCACCCCAAAGACCTGCTTTCTCCTGTTCTAAGGCAAACCTGGGGGAAGGTGAACAGTGCTGCTGGCCCCTTGGGTTGCCTGCAGAGTGCCAGCACTGGGGGTAGTTTCTGGCCTCTAAAAGCATGTAGTGTTCCAGCTGAGTGGACTCCCATTCTGAAATAATCTTTTGTTTTCTATTCACTGTCAGTTCACAGGGAACAATGCCCCATGAAATTGCCCCTATAAAAAACCATGGCCTCCCTGACCCCCGAATTCTGTTTGGCCTCCATTCCCACCTCCTCTGTAGCACAAGTACGTGGTTGAAAAATGTAGTTGGTAAAGTTAACTGGCAAAGCAGTTAAATGGAAGAATAAAGTTAACCAAGCAGCCTTTTGCTTGGTTGAAATCTCATCTCCCACTGCATGCTCCTTCCAGTGACAGACGTGCGTTATCTCCAACCCATCTGCTCTAGTCTGTCCTGCCTTTGAGGATGATTCATAAAAGTTGAATTATCAATAATAGAATGAGTGTCTTAGGTGCTCTGATAAACATGAAGACCAAGTAAGAAAAATGGAGGTGGGAATATAAAAGCTGTTTTCCTCCTGTTTTTGAAGTAGTAATATATTAACCTTAGATAATTCAAGGTTGAAAGTTAAAAACAAGATGTAGGAATGCTACACTTCCTGTCCATTGTGGTTTTTCTGATGACTGCCTAAAAATGGTGCCCTGATTGAGGTTTTGGGAAACATTTCTTTATAAAGGCACTCTATAAAGTGCTATTTTATTTTACATATGTGGTGAACTCTTTTTTTACATTTATAAATGTGGCTTTAACATCAGTGTTTCTGTTCTTGTGTTCTGTGTAATGCTTGGAAGCTGAGTACACTTGAAGAAGGGCTTAGCAGATACAAATTCTGACAGAAGCCCCGACTACTCTGTGTTGGCTCACCTAGTAAAATGTAAAGTTAGGAGTTTCAGTGGTAGTAACTTTGAACCCTGCATTTGACTGTTTTAAAATACAGCTCAGTTCTTTTCATTAAATGGTATGTTGTCTTTATAACATTACTCAGGAGGCAGTTTTTAATCTCATTTTTGTTTCTGTCCCATGTGTATCACCTGTTTAAGGAGTTTTGCAGACAACTTGAATACTCTAGAGGCTATGCTGCAATGTTAGATTTACTTGTCATATTTTTGAGAACCCATTTGTTCTGGGCTGTATGCCTCAAGAGATGGGATGTGAAAGGTAGAAGCCTGAGTCCTGGGTTTAATTTAGTTTTGACCGGGACAGAGCTTGAAGTTTCTCCTCACGTGGTCTCCCAAGCTACCAGCCTATACTGTTCATTCACTATATCCTGAATGGTAATTACCTACAAAGTGGAAATAATAAATAAAGGTCTGAAAGCACCTTTGGTGATTATCTACTTTCTGTGGCCCACTAGGGGGAGCCCTTGCCCTTGTTAAGTGTAATTCAGTGGGTGTTTTCAGAAGAAACAAATTTTTATACTGGTACTAAATCCCTGTAGCAACTTGAGGATTGCTTTGCTTTACAAAAGTGAGAGCAAAGACTGAACTGAATCACTTTCAATGAAAAGAATGTATGAACTTAAAGGGATTTATTTACCTTTGACTATCAGGCATTTTGCTGAGTTGTGGATTCTAGTTTTTAAGCCCTCCAAAATATTTTATAGTGTTGTACAAGGAGTAAAAAGTATAGTGCCTCTCTAGGAAAAAATATTATAGTCTAGGTTTGGGGTTCCCCTAAGATGAGAATACAGTGGAAATGGAAAATGGAGATTAGGGATAAGCCTTTAGATCCACTGCATTTGGCCTCTACACTGACTTTCATGAAGCACAATACCAGTTTTTTTGGAAAGCCAAACGAAACCTCACTTGATCCTCATGATCACCTTGTAAAGTTAACATAATAACCCTACTTATAAGTGAAGAAAGCAATTCTGAGAATTCAGTTCAAATGACTTAAGCTTAGCAGCTGTGAATCAGGAACAGGATTAAGCTCTAGAGAGGTTATCATAAAAGAATGCTTAAAAAGTGGGTAGGACTTATCATGAAATGATATGGGTCCAGAAATTTTATTTCCAGCATTAAGAACAATACTTTGTGGATTGTTAACTCATTTTGCTTATTGCCTGTCACTCTTTCTGTGTATGTTCCTTGAAGACAAGGGTTAATCGCCCACTGCCCACCCCCAGTGTATCCCAGCACCTAGAACAGTGCTTGGTACACAGGGACTCAATAAACATTTGTTGAATGAATTGTTAGTTCAAGAAATGCTATCAGTTGTGATTCAATTGCCCAATTTTAAGCAAAACTAGAGAATGAAGAATGAAGAAAAAATTGGTGATAATTAGGATAACAACACCTATAATGCAGCTGTGGTTTCCCCCTAATACCTAGCAACTTCTGACGTCTTGATACTGAATGGTATGATGTTAAAACCATGGGCTTCACACCAAGATCAATCTGGTCTCAAACGGTGACTTTGTCATATCCTCATAGGCAAGTGACCTTGAATAAGTCACATCTTTGAAACTTTCCCCAGCTGTATAACAATAATATTACATACTTCACTGGGCTATAGTGAGTATTAAATGAGAAGAATTTATGAAAAGCATTAACAGGGCATGGGGTAGAGTAAGGCACTGTGATGAGTGGATCTCTTCAGAAATGGGTATATCCCTGTCAGGGACACTGCTCTGGGGAGACATGGAGAGTGAATAGTGGGCCAGGGTGCATTTTAGTTGCAAGAACAAGGATTATGGCAAGTGAGGGTTTGGTGTGGCTGGGTCAATGGCTAGCTCTGTAGGCCTTCTAACCCAGTAACCTGGGTATTTTCTCGACTAACAATATTTTATGTGGAGACATGTTCACCCGTGAACTGAGGTCTTTAATATCAAAGGTTCATTCTAACTCAGACATCTATGATTGTGCCTGACTTAGCCTCCCAGGTGCTTAACAAATGCTGTTTATTTAATGAGTGAGCCTCCTGATACCGCAAAGAAACAGTGAATTTTTTAGCAATATGTCGGGTGCTTTCTAGTTATTTTTCTCTAGTTATAGATTTATGCTTCTGGGGAAAAGATGTAAATTTGTGGATGGGGGTGGGAGGGGACCAAAATACCTTGGCTTCCAAATTTTCTCCCTACAGAGGGTCAAGGAAGTAATCCAAGTCCGTTTCTGGGAGAATCCGATCCGCAGTTTTCCCCTTGCTTTGGCTCCTTGCCGGTTTTACCAGCCGCGCAGGGGAGACGTTAGCCAACCGTACGCGGGGCCGGGGAGAGTCCACCGGCTCCCGTGAGGGCGGGACCGAAGCTCAGGAGCCGAGAGCAGAGGGCACGAAGTCTCGAGTACGCGTGGGCCGCGCTGGCGCCGCGGACCACAACTCCCAGAACGCCTTGCGGGCTGCGCCGAAAGCGGTTGGCGGGGAGCTCCAGCCCACTGCCCTCGCGACCAATGGGACGAAGGAGAGAGACCTGACCCGGTTTCTCGGGGGCCAATGGCAGTACAGAGGAGGCGGGTGCTTCTTTACCACTCACCTTGCGCTGGGGAAAAAACATATATTAAAGGTCGTGCCGGGTCGGACGCTGGCGGCAAGGAGACCAGAGCAGGAAGGTGCGTCGGTGTCTCGAAAAGCGGCGCTGGGAAGGTCGCGGTTCTCGCAAGGCGCGCGGCAGGCGTCGCCGGGGGCGGGGCTGGGGGCGGGGCCTGGCCTCGTTGTGGAACGACTCGTAATCCATCATGGCGGCCGCGGGGGTCGGTGTCCGTCCCTGAGCAGCGCTGGAGCCGGAGCCGGTTCCCGGGTCTGGCGGCTGAGGAGCGCCTCCGTTGTCCACGGCGCCTACCTGCAGGGGGAGGCTCGGTCCCGCTGTGGAGCTCTGCGGATGTGACTGCCGGGCGGTGGCGGCCGTGGCAACGTCCGGGGCCAGGAGAGGGGGTGTCTTGGGAGAGACCCTCGGGCTCGGGGCAGCCGAGGCGGCCGGGCCTCCTGCCCCCTCCGCCTGCCTCCCGCCTCCGGGTCGCGAGAGCCCACCGTCCCTTACAGCCCTGCCTGGCTGTGAGACATTGGGGGTGGTCTCTGTTCCCCCAGACCTGGGACACGCCGTTTCCTGAGGCGTAGAGGAGCGTCGCCCCTGAGTAAGCCGCCAGTGCCCCCCGCCCCCCGCCCCGGCAGCCTCCCTCTTAGCCCCGAGCCGCCCCTTGCTCCGACTCCCGGCACCCAGTTTGGCCTCGGAGTCCCCCCATTCAAATCCCTTCCCTGTGGTCAAGTGGCCTCCCCTTCCCCCCCAGTTGCTCCCGCGAGCCGCTAATGCCCTGACTTCTCCCAATGTCACCCAAGGCCCCCTTGGTCTCAGCCCAAACAAAAACTTTAATGCAAAGGAAAAGTCTGGACTGGTTTCACAGGCCTTTTAAAAAGCGGATCTGAAAGTTGCTGGCAATGCATTCCTTCTCGTCAGAGTCGAGGGCAAGCTCTCGCTGAAGCCTCGGTGACCCGTGTCCTTTTCCGGACAGCGTGGTAGAGAAGCGGGAGCTGCGGCTAGTTCGGCAGGAAATTTGTCGGAAGATGAAGAAACTAAGATAGGAGTGGGTGACTTCCACAGGAAAAGTTCTGGAGAAGCATCCAAAGATGATCAACCTTTTCCTTTATGTATGGGCATCGAAAGGACTTGAGTCCGTTTAGTTTTTTCTTCTTGGAAAGAAAGAGACTTAATTCAACCAGTGAAAAACACTTACACCCAAGAAACTTGAGTAGCACTGTAGTAAGTTCAAATTGATAAACTGCGAAAATAAGTGGAACTCTTGTTTACACGTGTCAACGTGAAAACTGCTTCCTTTTGCTATGGAAGGTGTCTTTTTGTGATTGACCTCAATTACGGACTTTTTGAGATGCAGTGAATGTGAAATCCCACCTATATACTGTTTCCTTCTGGAAGATCTTGAACCCTCTCTGGAAAGGGGTGCCTATCCTTACTTTATGGGGCAGCAGCCAGGAAAAGTTCTTGGGGACCAAAGACGGCCGAGTTTGCCTGCCCTGCACTTTATCAAAGGAGCAGGGAAGAAGGAATCATCACGGCACGGGGGGCCCCACTGCAATGTGTTTGTGGAACATGGTGAGTGCTCTTCAAGCTTCCTGGACCTGTTTTTCCTCATGCATTCAGCTTAGGCATGCACAAGGAACTTCTGAACCCTAGTTCTGTGCTGTTTCCTTTCTGGTTCCCCCCAAACCTTCTAAGACTAGTTACCTCCTAGTTTCTCATGGAATTTTCTTTGTATAAGAGAAATTTTCTTGGTGACTCTGTATGGCCTTACTCCAAATCTCTTTGAGTTGCTTATTTCTTGCCTGATTCCCTTTCTAACTCACTGTTGACCTTGGACGAGCCATTTTACTCTTACAGTTTCCTGAGCAGGTGGTTTCTCCGGATCCATAGTCCATGATTCTGCTCTAGCCTAAGTCATGGGCTCTTCCCCTCCATGTTTTACTACTTTACAGAGAGCTTGTATCGTATCCTCAGAGTGGTTTGTGCTCCCCAAGAGGTTCAGAACCACAGATGCCTGTTGGCTTTTCAATCGTAAGTAGGACTTGAAACTACTCACTTTGGAGCTATGTGGGAAAAATTGAATGGGGAAGCAGATTCCTTGTGCATGAGGGCGCCCAGCTTCTGGTTATTGTAGCTTAGGAGTAATGCTGTCCCCATGGATGGAGCTTTCATCCTTGCTCCTTGTTTCAGGTGACATTTGGGGCAAGAAGGTTGTCTTTGACATTTTTGTGAACAGAGTTGGCATTGGAGTACATATACTGATCACTTCCAGTAATTTCTGTGTGATGTTCTAAAGCGAAGGGTTAGCTTAGACTAATAACTGTAATGGGCTGCCCGAGCCAATTAATTAGGGTCCTGTTTGTACTGTTGCAGCCTGACAGTTTCCAGATTGTGTACTTTATATTAAAATATCAATTTATCCCACCCACCCCATAAGGAAATGTAAAGTGTGCACAAGTGGCACATACTTTGAAATTCAGTCACAAATGCCTCTGAACACTGGGTGACTACAATAAACAAGGGTCTCTGTTCTGAGAACTTGCATTTGACAGTTGAGATTTTAATTTCTTACAGAGAATTATTCACCTCATCTAAATAACATAGGTACTTGATTTTATTTTGCCTTGAAACATTAGTTAAGTTATATTTTAGTGTCGGTTTTAGTCAGGCAAATATGGTAATATGTTACCTTACGAGGCTTCCCAAATTCAGGATTTATGAAGTGAATTATTTACATTTTTAACTAGTGATGATCATGCAGCCTTAGATAGTGAAAATTGGTACAACTTTTTGGAGAGCTCTGGCCAGGTTTGGCTAGAATTTAAAAAGTAGATACCAATGACCCCATAATCTCATTTGTAGGAAGCTATCCTAGTGTAGAACAGTAGTCCCCTGGGTGTCTCTGATACACCTACAGGGTATTGAGAGGTTAAAACTATTTTCGTTTTGATACAATACTAAGATGTTATTTGCACTAGTGTGCAAAAGTAATGCAGGCTCCTTAACATGAATCAAGGCATGGCACCTAACTATACTAGTAGCCATTGTGTTCTTCATGCCATGCACACATAGTAAAAAAAAAAAAAATCTTGTTTTCAGTTAAGAATGTCCTTTTAAAACAGTTGTTTTCCAGTAATAATAAAAGTGTTCATTTTTTTTTTGTAGATAATTATTTTTTATTGAAGGGTTGTTGACACACAGTTTTACATTAGTTTCAGGTGTACAACACAGTGATTCAACATTTATATACATGATAATTCTAGGTTAAAAGTGTTCATTTTTAAATGAATAAATAATTTTAAAATTTCAGTGTAAATTTCTAATACGGTAAATGTTGATGAGGTAACCTATATAAAGAAAAGCTCTTGGAGGTCCTCAATAATTTTCAGCAGTGTAAAGAGGTCCTGAAATAAAAAAGTTTGAGAACTGCTGCTCTAGAAGGTCTATCAAGGAGCCACGTAAGGATGTTTATTGCAGGCATTATTATAAAATACTAGCACCAAAAGACGTCTCTCTGTGTAGTGGTAAGTGGAAAAAGCAGTTTGGAGATCAGGCTGTATGGTATGGCTCCATTTTTGTAAGACAAAAATGATCTATTTGTACATGCACAGAGAAAAGTGGGGAAGGATTTAGACCTAAGAAGTTATCTTTAGACAATTGGGATTTAGGAGAAAACTTTCACTTTTTACTTTGCATTTGTGATTTCTTTTTACCACACAAGGTGTTACTTTGTATGCAAAAACCACGAAGATTTAAAAATTGAATTAATGGCAGCCCAACCAAATACTTCTCTGCAGTGAAGGAATTCTTTTTATGAAAGAATTTGTCTAAGTCATGCTTTACTTAAGACAGTCATTTCTTTGCGCCTTGGGTATTCTTTTCCTAGGGGAACATGTTCTCATATTGTGTTACAAATTGTTCTTGATCTTTCATAGGCTTATCTTTCTAGAGTTGTTAATATCCGTAGAGGTTGGATTAAAAAACTTGCAGCCATGACATACAGTGTTGGACCAGACCTTAATGTGGAAGCTGAGAATAGTGTGTGGTAGTGGTGCTGGTGAATCTGAAAGAAGTAGGCAGATGGCAACATTTTTTGCCAGGATCACTCAGGGTCAAAGGGCCAGTCCTAAGTACAGGGAAAAAAATGAAACCACCATATGTTCCTTCCAAATTTCAGTGGCTTGACTAAGGAAATTCACCTTTAGGAAAGCTGCTAAAACAGGATTAAAAGCATTCACTAGTAAACCTCTTTCCTTAGTAGTTCCTTCTTTCCCTAACAAATATTTATTGAGCACACACTATGTACCAGGTAGTGTTCTAGTCATTGGTGATACATTACTGAACAAAACACATCTGTCTGCCCTTCTAGGACTTACATTATAGTGGAAGAATACAGGCCATACATAAGTTAAGTAAGTAAAATAGAGAGTATGTTACATGATGGTAGGTGCTGAGGAAAAAGTCATAGAAAAGGGGTTAGGGAATGTTGGGAGGTGATAGGGACTTTAGCTAGAATGGCTATGAGGCCCCACTGAGAAGGTGGCATTTGAATCAAGACCTGAAGCAGGGAGGTGAGGGAATGAGCTGTGGAAGTAATGGGGTGAAAGCATTTCGGGCAGAGGGAACTGGTGCGAAGGCCCTGAGGCAGAGCTTGCTTAGTATATTCAAGAAAAAGCCAAGAAAAAGTGCAGAGTAGCTGGAGCAGAGAGAGCACAAAGGGAGTTGTAGGAGATAAAATGGGGATGGGGGAGAATGGCTACAGAAAGTGGCCTGGTTGGCCATTTCAAAGGTTTTGACTTTTACTAGTGTGGTTTGGATGCTTTTGGTGAATTTTGAGAGAGAAGTATGGGACCTGATTTATGTTTTATTAAAATTTCTCTGACTGCTGTATTCTGAAGGTGAGCAAAGGAGGAAGCAAACCCCTCTTAGGGGTTGATTGGCAGTAATCAAGATCAGAGTGGTGGCAGGGGCCAGATTCAGTGACTATCTGAAGCAATAGTTGACTGGCTCTGCCCTTGGATTAGATGTGAAATGTGGGATGTGAGGGAAGTCAAGGTTTTGGACTGAGTAACTTGAAAAATGGAGTTGCCTTTTGCTGAAGTGTAGGCTAGAGGAGCAGGGTTTGGGGAGGGGAGTCATGCATGGCAAATGAAAATCAGGAGCTTCCATTTGTGCTTGCTGTTACTTGAAGTGCCTATTAGGCTTCCCGATGGATATGGCAAATACACAGTTGAGTCTTTCTTATAAGCTTGAATTCAGGGAAGCATTCCAGGCTGGAGAGAGAGCTCAGGAATCATCAGGTATTTAAAGCTGTGAGAATATGTGACATCTTCAGGAAGAAACATCCATGTATGCATCTTTCATAGATGTAAGGCGATTCAGTCGGTTATGAAATTACGATTTTATGTTTTTATGTAGGATCAGTTTGAACCTCTTTTTGAGGCGTGGTGGTGACATTCAAATTTTGCAGGGAATGATTTTAACACACCTTTAAATTTAAAATTCTGGTTGTCTTTGATTTTTTTTCCTGCATCAAAAAGTTGCAGATTAAAAAAAATTGAACACGTGTTCCCCTGTTTTTCTTGGTAGTGTTTTAAATGTGTAGTCATTTCAATCTTAAAATATTTTTGTAATGCTTTTCTAGTTAATGCCTTAAAAAAACTGAAGCTTTTACTTTTATGCAATAACTTTAAGAAATTATTTACTCTCAGTTTAAAACTACAGTTTTCTAATCAAATTTGATTCAAAATAATAGAATAGGAACTTGATAGTCAACATTGTAATGGATGCTGTTGTTAAATTCATGCACATTAGGAGGCAGGAAAAAGTGCATCTATTGGGTCTTACAGGTATCAAAGTTAAATCAATCAGATTCTTAAAAAGAGGTTGTTTGACAGAGAAGACAAGTAGTGACTCTATAGCATCTTACTACGCTGATGGACAGTGACTGTAATGGGGTATGTGGGGGGGACTTGGTGATGGGGGGAATCTAGTAACCATAATGTTGCTCATGTAATTGTAGATTAATGATACCAAAATAAATAAAAATAAAATACAAATAAATAAATGAATGTCAAGGGAAACATTAAGTGTAAATAATGTTCCTCATGTAATTGTAGATTAATGATACCAAAAAAAAAAAGAGGTTGTTTGGAAAGATATCCATGTCCTTACATTAGTTACTGGGTTGTAGTACATGAGCTGTGAAAATGCAAATGTGTGTGTATGAGCATTTTTTAAGGCACCCTGTTATTTCCCATACATTTTGGATGACCTTATTTTTTCATGAAGCCTTATTGTTCATTTTAAGAAACATGCTTATAAGACAAAAGAAAACAGAAATTTCAGTTGTGAGATAAGTAAAGGAGGATGATTTAGGTGATATAACTAAAAGAATTTTTATCTTATTTAAATAATGCATACGATCAAAGAAAATAATAGAGAAGAAAACATGAAATAATTTTCTCTCAGTTAGGGATCTCACTTGTGCTTCAGATCTCCAGGTGACATATGCTGAAGTGTTGTCAAGTGTGTTGCCAATAATGGATTTTTTGAGTGAGAGAAAAAGGGAT